AATCCCTCTGCCTCAGCCTCCTGAGTAGCTGGGACTGCAGGCATGTGCCACCATGCCCGGATAATTTTTCCTATATATATTAGTTGGCCAATTAATTTATTTCTATTTATAGTAGAGACGGGTCTCGCTCTTGGTCAGGCTGGTTTCGAACTCCTGACCTCGAACAATCAGCCCGCCTTGGCCTCCCAGAGTGCTAGGATTACAGGCGTGAGCCACCACGCCCGGCCTGCTTTCTTAATAGATTCAACTCTGCTAAAATTCTCTTTGTCTCTATTTAACATTTTAATCAGTTATTTTAAAGGCCTTGTCTGCCATCTCCAACATCTGGGTCATCTGCAGGTCTGCTTCTATTGTTTATTTTTTTCTCATGTGTATTGGGCCCGTTTTTCTCCATTTTTTGCATGCTTTGTGATTTTTAATTTTTGTGTGTCACATATTGGATACAAAAGAAGGACAGGGGCTCCAGATTGTGTTATTCCCCCACCCCCACCTGCCAGAGAGGGCTCCCAGAGGAGCTAGTCACCTTGATGGAGTCAAATATTGAGCTGCGAAGGGACAGAGTTACAGTCTGGTAAAACCTTGTCCTCCCCTGATTGTCCCTGTCCCTTTGGAACGGCCCTCTTGGATTTTGGATTGAAAGCCTAGCCAGTCTTTGTCTCTTTAAAGCTTTTAAAGTTCTGTGTTTCAGAGATTTAAAAGGAGCTCTTTAGTCTCCCAACCCGCACAGGCTCAAAACCTGGCCATTGCTATTAATAATATCTCGATGGAAAGGGGGACACCAGCCGTTCGTCCCAGGCCTCCCTACACTGCAAAGCAGTGGACTTGGCCTCCCAGGCCGGCCCCTTCCAGCCTCCTGCACTGCCTCAGACCTCAGCAAACGTTCCACGGGGAAAACTTGCTCTGCACTTTGGGCTCCTTCAGTTCTGGATCCTTAGCGCAGTCCTTGCGACCACCAAAACCTGTCCGTTTCGCTTTCCCCAACAGAGTCTTTCTGCTTGGGCCAAGTCTGCTCCTCAGCAACATCCCAACTCAGCAAACGCCACGGGGAAGACGGCAGCCCAGTGTCACTAGTGCAACTCGGAAGGGCTCTTTCCTCCTTGTAATTTTGGTTCATCTGGTCTTTATTTCTTCTACCACTTTCCATTGTCTTTAAAAATAAGATGATTTCATCCTTTCTTTTTTTTTTTTTTTTTGAGACACAATCTTGCTCTGTTGCCTGGGCTAGAGTGCAGTGGTATCAGCCTAGCTCACAGCAACCTCAAACTCCTGGGCGCCAGCGATCCTCCTGCCTCAGCCTCCCGAGTAGCTGGGACTATAGGCATGCGCCACCATGCCCGGCTAATTTTTTCTATGTATTTTTAGTTGTGCAGCTAATTTATTTCTATTTTTAGTACAGATGGGGTTTCGCTCTTGCTCAGGCTGGTCTTGAACTCCTAACCTTGAGCAATCCTCCTGCCTGGCCAAGATGACTTTCATCTTATCTGTTTTTTCCTAGCTGTCGCAATGGCCCCCGTGGCCTGCAGAGACCGCCCACACCCCACCCAGAAGCAGAAGTTCTGCAACCTGTTTCCTACCACTTCCACGGAAGACACGGTTCACTTCTTAGTATCTGCACTAATCACACTCCGGCTTGACTTCCCCTTGTTTCAGCAAGTCACAGGGCTCTCTTTCGTCTCTTTGAAAATAGATGCCAACTATTTCCTGAATTTTCTAGAGGGGTGGCCATTTTACCGCAAGGTTCTTGCTGCTTTGTTCTTCTGTATCACAAATCCTTCACAGCTTCTGTTTTTTGGGGCCCTCACCCCAGGGAGGGGTTTGGGGGACCCCGATCTGCCACCCAGTGCCCAGTACACCCACCTTGAGAGACGAACTCCTGGGAAGCCTTTTCTTCCTCTTGGGCCGTGTGGGTCCCCTGCGAGGGGGACTCCAACCTTCCCTCCCTTCTCGCCGCCTCCTGAACTCTGCGTGACTGTCATGCACAGCCGCAGTGCCAGCCAGCCTCTAACACTCATAAGCCTTTGACTTTCACGCCTCTGTCACCAGCCTTTGCTTCCATCTGGGCTTCCAGACTCTTCACCCACATTTTTGTCCCCATGGCCCCTCCAGAGCAACACCTCCAAAGTCGCCATCCTCCCGCGGCTCTGATCCTCTTCCTGTGATCCTATTTCAGGGACTGCCACAGCCATCTGGTCATAGCCTGTGTCTCATCCCGATCCCTCTCGCTCCTTCCCCACGCCTCACACCCAGCTGCTCCCAAACCATGTCGGCTCTGCCCCGTGAATGCCGCCTGTCCCCGTCCTTCCCCGCAGCCACCGTCCTGCCCTCCAGAGGAGCGTACGTGCCGAGAGCGTTCAACGCACACAAGTGTTTTATTATTTCTGCCCGGTGGAGGAGGCCCTGGCGGGGCAGGGGTGCAGAGCTGACGGGGAGCCACACCCCGCTGGCAGCTGGGGTCCAGGACCGCCAGGTCCGGGCCGTCGGCGTGTGAACTGGAGCCGCGCAGGAGGTACGCTGAGGCCGGTGGCTGGAGACAGGCGTCCCGGCCTCACCGGTGCCGCTTTCGGATGCTGTGCAGCTCCTGGCAGACGGTGCTGAAGTTGGGCCGCTGCCCGGGCTCGTAGGCCCAGCACTGCTCCATGAGCCTGAACACGGCGTCGGGGCACAGCTCGGGGCAGGGCAGGCGGCCCCCTGCGGGGACAGGCACAGTGCACCGGGCATGAGGAGGGTGTGAGGGCCTCTGGCAGCCCCTGGGTGCGGACTATGAGCAATGGGAGCTGCGTGAATGGGAGCTGGTTCCTCAGCAGCCACTCTTTCTCCCAGGGACACAGGGACACAGAGGCCCGGCTTCTAACCCCATCCCACCGTGTGCTAGTCGGTGACCTCTGCGAGCCTCAGCTTTTCCATCTGTAAAAGGGATCCGTTAATCCCCATGTCACACGTTGTGAGGAGCTAAAGAAATAACGCATGGCCCAGCACGTAACAACATAACAGGAGGTAGCTACGGAACTGCTCTTACTCTTATTTATTTTTTTTTTGAGACAGAGTCTCGCTTTGTTGCCCAGGCTAGAGTGAGTGACGTGGCGTCAGCCTAGCTCACAGCAACCTCAAACTCCTGGGCTCAAGCAATCCTGCTGCCTCAGCCTCCCGAGTAGCTGGGACTACAGGCATGCGCCACCATGCCCCGCTAATTCTTTTTCTATTTATATTAGTTGGCCAATTAATTTCTATTTATAGTAGAGACGGGGATCTCGCTCTTGCTCAGGCTGGTTTTGAACTCCTGACCTGGAGCAATCCGCCCGCCTCGGCCTCCCAGAGTGCTAGGATTACAGGTGTCAGCCACCACGCCCGGCCTCCTCTTACTCTTTACCCTGCCCTGCACGGTGGGGGTACAGGAGGGGGCCCGCTGGCGCAGCCGGGCGAGGGCAAGGCCACGCACTGCGGCGCGGCGGCTCACCGTTTTCCACGAACTCCCGAGTCTGCTGGTTGCTGAGGTTGGGGTAGGGGGAGGCGCCCAGGCTGAAGGTCTCCCAGAGCAAGATGCCGAAGCTCCACACGTCGCTCTCGGAGGAGTAGCGGCCTGCAGAGCGGCGGGGCGCGGGCACGTGAGTGGGTGGCAGGACCCGCGCCGGCCTCCGCCCCGCGGCCCCGGGTGGGCGGTGAGCAGGTACCGTAGTTCAGGGCCTCGGGGGCGGTCCACTTCACGGGCACTTGTCTGAGGCCCCCCGAGGCTGCGTAGACCCCATCAGCTTCCTCCCGGGACATGCCGAAGTCACTGATCTTCAGGACGTTCTTCTCGGTCACCAGGCAGTTCCGAGCAGCCAGGTCCCTGGGCGAGGCAGGGCAGGGGGCTCATGCGGCCACAGTCTGGGCTAAGCCCCTACGTGAAGCCACCAACAAAGGCGGCCCCACACCCCAGGCGTGCCTGTCCTGTGGGGAGAGGCCAGCCCCAGCCTGGAGCTGAAGCCTAGCGGCCAGGGCACCTGGGCGCCCGCTCACCGGTGGATGCAGCACTTGCTCTCCAGGTACTCCATGCCGGCCGCCGCGTCGCCCACCAGCTGCAGCAGGGTCTTCACGCGGAGGCGGGCCCCCTCTGTCCGCAGGAAGGTCAGGAAGTCGCCCCCTGGGGGTGGCGGAGGAGCCGCACTGAGCCTCCGTGGGGGGCTGCCCCCCGCCAGGCTGGCCCGCCCTGGAGGCCGCACCCTGCTCACCCTGCACCAGCTCCATGACGATGTAGATGGGCTGCTTCTGGGTGCAGACGCCAATGAGACGCACGATGTTGGGGTGACTGTACTGCTTCAGGATCCTGGGGGGTGCCGCGACTCAGCCGTCCGCCCGCCCCCGCCGGGACCCCGGAGCTCGGGAGAACGGGAGAAGGGCCACCACGGGGAAGGGCTTGGTCTCTGCGGCCCGCACACCTGGGCGTGTGACCTTGGGCGGGGTGCTGGGGTGCGGAGGCCCCTACACTGTCGGGGTGCTACCCACCGGCGCCCTCGGGATCAGACCACACCACGGAAGCCAAGTGCTTCACGCCGGCTGAGACAGGGGAAGCCCGTGGTGCCGGGCACTCTCCCACCCACCTTGCTTCCTGCAGGAACCTGGCCTTGAGTTCCGGGGGGAGCGTCTCCCGGCAGGACTTCACCGCCACCAGACTGTTGTCGGCCCGCAGGCGCCCGCTGAACACCTCGCCGAAGTTCCCCTGAAAGGGCCCTGCTCCTGCCAAAGCTCGCCGCGATCCCTTCCTTGCCCAGGGCACAGCCTGCCCTGTCCCCAGCTGCCCTGCTGTCCCCCCACGAGCACACTTGCCCCACCCCACACCCCTGCCCTCGGCCCCCACGAGCACACTTGCCCCACCCCACACCCCTGGCCTCGGCCCCACGAGCACACTTGCCCCACCCCACACCCCTGCCCTTGTCCCCATGAGCACACTTGCCCCACTCCTGCGCCCCAGCTCTCTGGCAGTGTGCCCCACACTGGGGAACTGGCAGGCTGCACATGGGGACGCAGGGAGAGCCACCTCCTATGTTCCACCTTCACTGACAAGAGTGACATGGAAAACACAAAAATCACTTTCCTCTGGCCTTGAAAAGCATTCTGAGTTTTAGGAAAGTGACCTCTTTCCCAAGCAGGTGTTTTATCACTTGCAATCCCCATGTCTCCCTGCACGCACACGGACACACACGCACACACACGCACACACGTGCACACATGTGCGCGCACACACGAGCCCCCTGGGGGGCAGGCCCCAGGTGTCAGGGAGAGCCTCCACTGGGCGTTGGCAGGGCGGGCATCGTCCCGTTCCTGCAGGACGGTGCGTGGCGGTGGCTGGGCAGGGTGTTGGGGGCGCGGAATCAGATGAGGCAAGGAGGCCGACAGGTGTCTGGGAGGGGTCTCGGGTGTGAGTCAGGGTGTGGGCTGGAGGGAAGCGGCCGGCGGGGAGCGCAGTGGGGAGGGGCTGGCAGAGCCAGGCTGGGCAGAGGCACACTCACCCGCCCGATCTGCTCGCCCAGCACCAGGTCCTCGTGGTTCAGCACCCACTTGTCCTGGGGGAGAGGAGGGTCAGAAGCCAGTGAAGAAAGGGCTGGACGTGCTGCAGCTGCGGCGTGTCGGTCTGTCCCGTGGGGTGGGACCGTATCAGGAGCACACTCCGATGGCTTCGGGACCAGGCAGGTGCCCTGAGCACCAGCCTAGCCTGTGGCTTTCACAGGCCACACCTAGAAGGGGCTGGCCACCTGGGGAGTGAGGCTGACTTCATCCCCTGCCTGTGGCCTGGGGACCGGGAAAGCCCTTTCTGCTCTGATCCTGGGCGGGCCTGGCCTGTGCACCCCCCACACAAGTGCACGGGCCGGGCTGCCCGCTCACCTTGGGCACGGCCCTGTGCAGGACGACGCCACTCTTCTTGGTGAGGGGCTGCTGGGAGCACAGCAGGTGGTCGATGAGCAGCGGAATGCTGGGGAAGCCATCCCCTTCCAGCCGGAACAGGTTCTGCAGGAGGCAGGGGCCCCGGGGTCAGTGGCCTCCATCTGCGGGGCCTGAGCCCTGGGAGAAGACGGGGAGCCCAGCCGGGGAGAGAGCGCCTGCCCGACAGGACCAGGGGCGGAAGGACCTCTAGAAAAGGCACCGTCTGAGGGCGCACGACATCCTACTGCCTCCTCCTCGGTGGAGGACGTACACTTGAGCCCCTATTTTGGTGCAGGGACTGGGTGGTCTCTGTGGCCCCTTCCAGCCCCGCTAGGGGGGCGTGGAAGGTGCAGCGGCTCCTCCCTACTCTGGCGGGGTCATTCCCCGTGGGGAGGGCAAGGGCGGGGCGGGGCCGGAAAGGCTCGGGCGAGGCCCACTCACGTCGGAGGACTGGATGATGAAGTGCCGGGGCAGGCCGTCCCACAGCACCGACAGCACGTACTCCTGCTTGCCCTGGCTCTCCCGCACCAGGAAGTCCCCAGAGTGAGTCAGCAGCTCGGCCACCTCCGCCCGCGGGATGGCCCCGTGGTACCACAGCTGCTCGTGCAGGGGCTTCTGCACCTCAGGAACGAGCTGCAGCGGTGGGGGGAGCTGGGCAGGGCCGGGGAGGCCCAAGGAGGGAACACTCAGCCAGCTGCCGGGGGAGGCACTGGGCCAGCCGGGGTCTCTCCCCCGCCCCCCATATGCCCCTAGTCCTCGCAGCCACCGAGTAGCACGGAGAGCCGTCCACAGGCCCCTGGAGGGGTGGTGGACTGGCCCAGGATCACGCTGGCCAGAGCTGGGATGGGAAGCCCAGTGTGGGTGGCCCCAAACCAAGCTGGTGCCTCGTCCTCCAGGCCACAGGCCCCGACCACGCCCGGAACAGGGAGAGCCATGGGGGACCAAGGCTGCTGGTTTCTGCAGCACACAGTGCTGGCAGGGCCTGGGGACGACTGCAGCCTGGGATCCCAGGGAAGAGAGGGACTGCCCAATAAAAGTGGCCTGGGCACAGCCTCCTCTCCGGGGCACCCCCAGGGACTAAACCCAAACACCACGGTGGGGAGTCCGGGGAGAGCATCTCTGAGCCCCCTGGCCTGGCTGGGTCTGGCGCTTGCACCGCTGCTGAGTGACCAGCTCCTGCCGGCTGAGCACCGACTCAGAGGGCTGGGCAGGGCTGCAGGCCCCAGCTGGGCACCACTCACCGAGAACTTGGGGCGGAAGATTCCAGAGATGTGGCTCTTAAGGATCTCCAGTGTGGGTGTCCTTCCCCCTTCTCGCTCCTGCTCCTGAGGCCAGGGACAGACGTCAGCGGGTGACCGGGCTTGGGAGGGGGAGGGCGAAAATGAGGAGCAGAGCCCGGCTGGCAGGCCTGGCTGGCAGGCAGTGGCGGCGGGTGGGCGGCTCACCGAGGAGGACGTGGAGTGGCGGTCGTCCTGCAGCAGCAGCACCGGCGGGGCCTCGCCGGGGCCCAGCTGCGCCACCTTGGCCTGCAGCAGCTCGTGCTGGGCCTGCAGCTTGGCCTGGCTGCACAGTGCCACCTGCAGCCCCTGCAGCGCCTCCAGCAGTGCCTGCCTCTTGCCCAGCAGCTGCACCCTGCGGGCAGGGCCAGGCGGAGGAGGGTGAGAGGGGCCCAGCCTGCAGCGGGGAGGGCGGCCAGGACGCTGCTGCGGGGGGCCCCACTCACCGCCCCCGCGGGGGGGTGTTCTGCTCTTCGTTCTGGAGCTCGCGCTGCAGCTGAGTGACCAGCTCCTGCCGGCTGAGCACCGACTGGGAGGCCACAGCCAGTTCGTCGGTCACCGAGATCAGCCTGTACCCGAGGGAAGGGCAAGGTCAGAGCCCAGCCCCCCAGAGGCATCCCTGCAGAGCCAAGCAGGCCCAGCCGCCTGGCCGCGGCTCCATGCGGGGGCGTCCACCGCCCGGCCCTGCCCACACAGCCCCAGGCCCCGCGGGAGCCCCGTGCCCGCCGCGCCCCACACACGTGTGCTGCACGCTCTCCACCGTCAGCTCGTTCAGCTGCAGCTCCCCGGGCTCCAGCGCCTCGCCTTCCTCAAGCAGAGACTCGTCGAAGGTGACGCAGGGTGGGACGTCAGGTGCGGACCTGTGGGCGGCAGTGCCCTGTGAGCGAACAGGCCAGAGGCCCTGGACCCCCGTGGGAGCAAGGACAGGCTTACCCGTACTGTCGCAGGAAGCCTTGGTACTCGGCCTCGGGCTGGACGCTGGCGGCGGCTGCAGCCATGGCGCGGTGAATGGCCACCACCTCGTCCTGCACCAGACTGCTGAGCTCCAGGTACTCCTGCAGGATCTCCTTCCTGCCCCCAGGTGGGACCCAGTCAGGGGGGCCTCAGGCTGGGCAGTTTGGGCCGGGGACACTGGGTTTGGAGTCAGTGCTGGGGCTGACCGTACTGGCCATGGGACTTTAGGCAAACTAGAGCCCTGACACGTATGACGGGGGTGCCGGGAGCTGCCATGAGGACCCAGCAGGATCTCGCGTGTGGTGTCTGACGCACAGGAGGCGCTCTCAGTGGTAACGCGAGCTACGACCATCCTGCCCCGCGGCCAGCCCAACAGCTGGCGCTCGGGCCCTGCCATGGGAGCCATCGATCGCAACCCCGTCTACACCTCCCAGTCCCAGCACCTCCCCTGTGCTGGCTCTCGTATTCATTCACCCGCTCAGAACGTCCCGGTGAACACCTCAGCCACCCCAACTCTGCTGGTTGAAAATGAACTCTTGTCTCCAAAAATTCTTCCTCCCACAGCCTTCTCCGCACGAGTTAATGGCGACCCCATCTTCCAGGTGCTCCATGCAAACCCCTGGAGTCCTCCCCGACTCCTCCATCTCATGCTCCCTTTCCAGCCCATGGGCAAACCCATCGGCTCTGCCTTGGAAACATGCCCAGGACCCGATCATGTCTCACCCCCTCACTACCTCCCTGGCCTGGGCGGCCACGATCTCTGGTCTGGGTAGTGGCAGAGCCTGCTGGCTGCCCCTCTGCTCCCGTCCTCGCCCCCGAAGCCTATTCTCAGCACTGTGGCCAGAGTGACCTTATTAGAACAGAGGTCAGATCACGTCACTCCTCTTGCTCACTCAGAGCCACGGTCCTTGTGACGGCCCGTTGGACCCTCTATCACCCAGCAGCCTGCGCTCAGCGTCTATGCACCTGCTGTTCTTTCTGGAACGGCCGTTCTCCAGATAGCCCCCTGGCTCACTCCCGGACCTCTCTCAGCAATCTCTGCGAACTTCCCCTGCTCACAGAGGCTGTCCCAGACCACTGTGTACACCTGTCACCTACTCCCGATCTCCTTCTCTCGCCGGATTTTTCCCCATAGCAATTACTCTTCTGCTGTGTTCCCTGCTTCACTCACTGACTTCTTTTCCTTTCTCCACCAACGGACAGACGGTTTGTCTCCGTCGTGCCCTACTGTGACTCAGAGCCTAGGGCAGTGCTCAGCGGATGTGATCAAACCCCGGCGGGACCCTGGAATAACGCAGCTCCACGTACACTGACCGGCCCTGGTTCCCTGGCCCAGCTCCCGTGCTCATGTGACTACATGGGCTTCACTTTTATAGCACTGAATTTTCCGGGACCTGCCCCTGGGCCCGGCGGCAGGGCGCAGGGCTGCTGCGGGGGGCGGGCTGGGCTTACAGGATGCTCGCCATCTCCTCGTGCAGGTCCTGCAGCGACTGCAGCAGGCCGGGCAGCAGCAGCTGGTGGTGGTGCCGGTGGTGCAGCTGCGCGGCCCGCACGCCCAGCACGTAGCGGTTGTGGTGGGCAAACAGCTTCCACAGGCTGCGCACGTACTTGTCCTTGGCCTTGTCGCGGTCCTTGTCTGTCGGGGGGAGGCGAGGGGTGTGGGTGACAGCACGGAGGCCTGGGCAGCCCCCGCCCCCGGGCCAGCGAGGGAAGCCGCAGACCTTTGCTGGCCTCCTGGTACTTGCGCCTGGCCTGGGCGCTGTCCCGCGCCAGGGCTCGGTACTGGCTCTTCAGCTTCTCGATGTCCTGGCTGTGGGCCTGGGGAGAGAGGGCAGGCCCGTGTGGGACAGCGGTCCCCAAGGATGGGAGGTTCCTGCCCGAGGTGAAGCCTGGGCAGGCCCCGCTGGCCGGGCAGGCAGCGCGCCCAAGCCCGCTCTCCAGGGAGGGCCCGGCCGCTTGTGGGGAAGCTGCCCTGAGGTTCCGGGCAGAGGAGCTGGTTAAAGACAGGCCCCTGGGGGAAGCTCAGGGAAAGGTGGGCTGGGCAGGCTACACCTGTCCCTTCTTGGCCTGAGAGTGGTGTCCTGGTGGCAGGAAGGGCCAGCTCCGGGCGTGGGCAGCCTGCGTAGCTGCTCGGGGCTCCACACGTAGGAGGGCCCGTGCCCGGCTTTAGGCTCCACTGTCGCTGTCTTGAAATTTTACTAATCCTTTACCAAGGAAGGTCCCGTGTTTTCATTTGCTCTGGGTCCTGCAAATCGTGTTCCTGGCTGCAGGAACGATAGGTGGCAGCCTGAGACCAGAGTTCTCATCCCAGTGTTTCTGTGCTGTGTGCTGGCAAGCTCCACCCCTCTCTTCTGAACCTCAGTTTCCCCATCTGTAACTGAGCTAAGGGCATCAACTAGATCAGTCTTCTTCTTAAAGGGTCAGATAATAAGCAAACATTTTAGGCTTGTAGACCACAGGGTCTCTGTTGCAATCATTCACCTCGGCCGCTGTGGCCACAGACGCTATGAAAGCAAAGGGGCCTGGCCGAGCCCCAGCAAAACTGTACAGCTGAGCAGACCTGGAAGCGGACGGTCTCCCGGCGAGAGGGGAGGGGCCGCTGGCCACCAGGGGCCGCTGTGGGTCCACGGCAAGGCGGGCTGCGCTGGGGGAAGGAGGGAGATGCCGGGAGGCTGACCACCCTGCATGGGGGACCGAGTGCCCGGATAAACAGCCGGCTCCAAATCCCACCGCCTCCAGACTGGGGGGCTGGGTGGGAGTCAAACCTGGACGGGCCCACTTCACAGCCTGTGTCCTTGGCCATGGGGGCCACGCTGCCGCCCTGTCTCTGGGTCCCCGGGAGGAGGGCAAACGGACCGGCCCTCGCTCCTCTCACTGTCCCTCAGACCCAGATGGCACAGCGCGGAGGCGAGTCCGGACCCACGCATCCTGGCAGTCCCCGCACTGTGCCCAGCCACAGACGTGCACGGGGACCAGGCCCCACTGCAGGCCAGCCCGAGTGGGGAGAGCAGAGGCGGAAGCTGCAGCAAGTTGGAGCGGGTCTTCCTGGGGCCAGGCCTGCGGTCGGGGACTTCCACTTCCCCAGTGAATCCAGGAGCTCTTGTGCAAAGCGGCTCCACATTCAGACAGAAAGGGCCGAAGCCCCAGCGCTGCCCACCCACCTTGGTGAGCTCCTGCTGCAGCTGCTGCCACTGCTCGCTGTAGGTCTTGCGCAGCTGCTGCCGCTCCCGGATCAGCAGGCTCAGCTTGCTCAGGGGCCCCGCGTTCAGGTCTTCCGCGTGCTGCCGCAGCAGCCGGCTCAGGCCCTCCGTCTGGCCGGTGATCTCGGCCCAGGACTGCGGCCCAGGGTGGGGAGGTCAGGGGGGTGGGGACCATGGCTCCCAAGCCTGGGCCTGACAAATCTCCAACCCCTCTTCGGGGCTGCGGGACAGGGAGAGGGAGGGCAGGTGTACCTGGTGCCAGAGGGAACCCGGCAGAAGCTCACCTGGCTGATGGGGCTGTCGGGGATGCCCCGAGCCTGGGCCCCGCTGTCCTGCAGGGACATGTGGTGCAGCAGTCCTGCATACTCCCTGTCACTCTTGACTCGCTGGGCCATCCACTTCCTCATGCCCTCCAGCAGGCGAAGCTCGGCCTCCTGCATCTGTTGCACCGCCCCATGGCCCTGGGGGCTGCACAGCTCGGAAGAGAAGCCCATGGTGCCGTCCTAGGGACAGAGAAGATGCCATCCGTGGGGACAAGGCAGCAGCTGGAGACGGAGGGGTGGGGCACGGAGGCTGGGGGCTGCGGGACGAGGAGGAGCGCAGATAGGCATGGGGGTGTGCTCCACTGAAATGCAGCCTGGCTCCACAGCAGCCGCCGGCCTGGCACTGGCCCTCGCTACTTCCCTGGGAAGGGGTCCCCTTCCCAGTCCTGCAATCGGAACCAACCTGGAGCCTCCCTGCCCAGGCCCTCCGGCCCAACACCCCTTACAGGGGCGCGTGCCCAGGTCCTAGACAGGGCCAAGCCTGCTCCAGCTGGAGGCCCAGGCGGCCACTGCCAGAGGCCGGCCACTGTGGCCCGCTCCGCCCTTCTGAGGCCCTGCCCCACCCGGTTGGGACCCCGGCTCTGGGAGCGCCTGGCCGGCTCCTGCCCGCCACCCGTCCCTAAGCTTCCCTCTGCCTCGTGCGCCGTGAGGCTGAAGTTACCCGCACCAGCAGCTGCTCCTGGGGCGCCTGGGACCCACTCAGGCCCGTGCTGACCCCGGCCAGTTCCTGATTCCGCTCTTCCTCCTCCAGCGGTTTCAGTTGGCCCCGGCCCCGGGGCGGGCCTGCGGAGGGGAAGGGGCGGGCGGCAGCGGCCTGGCGCCCCAGACGCCTGCCGGCCCCCCTGCTCAGCACTGGGCCGCAGTCTCTGGCCAGCCAGCCAACAGCGGCCACGGAAACGGAAGGGAGGAGGGCGCCGGGAAAGAATGGCCCTGCCGGGAGCAGCCTGCACCCTGCGCTCCCCAGGGCCGGTGGCGCCCCGGAAACATGGGGTGGGGCTGGGGGTGGGCGCAGGGTGAGCCCCCAGGCAGGTGTCCAGCCCAGGACCACTCAGAGCGTCAAGGGGCTGGGGGTGGGGGGCAATCCTAGCCCCAGGCCAGGCCGCCCCAGAAGAGGAAGGGGAAGCCTAGCCGGGTCCTCCCCACTTCACTGGATTCTCCGAAGGCAGTGCAGGCGCCAGCCTCCACTTGAGTAAAATCTCCAAGTAAATATCCCAAAGAGAGGCTTGACCCCTACCCCCAGTCAGGGGCTTCCTGTCCCCAGGGAGACGCGGGGCAGTCAAGGGGCAGAGCCAGGGAGTGGAGAGGTGTGGACTTTCCCCCGTGGGACTCAGGCCCCCCCAGTAGAAGTCAGGCCCCAGCCCAGGTCTCAGCCCTAAGGTGGCCAGGTCACTTCACTCAGGAAGACACTGAGTAACTAGGACACAGGCCCAGATACTCTCCACCCGCGGGAAACCAGGACGGGCTCCCGGGGCCCAGCGAGGGGGGGTCACTGGCTCCAGGCCCTGGGACTTGTCTCCTCCGCTGGGGCTGGCGACCCCTCCCTGCAGGAGACCCCAGAGCCCCTCAACTTGGGCCTCCCGAGGGCCCACACGCAGGCAGGCAGGCAGGACACCACGCAGGCCCAACCGGCCCCCACCCCCCTGGCCGGGACGCAGTCAGCGGTGCTGGGGAAGAACAAGATCACCACACTGGAAACCAGACTTGGTTTGCATAGTCTGCACGTTTAATCACTTTAAAACCTCTAACATTATCTCGTGTCCATTAAATAGAACCAACAATACTGGGCCTGTTTAAATTACAAGAAAAAAAAAAATCATCGTGCACCAACCCAGTATCTTACAAAACCAGCTGGGCTGGCCACGAGGGTGGGGGATGGGCGAGGAGGGGGCACCCCTGGGCAGGTGGCTAGAGACCAGGACGGTGACGGGGGAGAAAGAAAAGGGGACTCCCGGATGGGAGGGGACTGATTGTCCTAACAGGAGGGGTGCAAAAGGCACGTCGGAGAGGGCACGTGTGGGGCGTGGCGGGTGAGCGCCTTCTCCACCAGGGCACAGTGTTGGAGGGGCTCGGTGCCACCCCCTGCCCACCCCTGGCACTTGGAGAGCCAGTGACCCATGAGCCCTTGGCACGATGAGCCCCACATGAAACACGGATGTCACTCTGCCCCTCCCACCGTGGCCCCTTTCCTCGAGCCCGCCCGCCTGGCCACCGCTTCAGGACAGACTCGGGGCTCAGCTGCCCCTCACTCCTCGGCAACTCGCTGCAGCCCCTACACCTCGGCCGGGGCAGCCAGGGAGGAGCAGGGTGGGTGGTGGGTGTGAGAAGGTGGGTGGTCCAGCTGCTACCCCCGTTAAAAATACAAAAAAAAAAAAAAAGAACACAAAATCATCAGCATCTAAAGTGAAATAATCACAAAGTGAAAATATATCCTCAAACAGCCCCTGAGATCCCCACAGGGGAAAGCAGCATCGGGTGGGAGGCGGGAGAGCCCGGCTGGGCCACCGTCCCTCCCCACCACCCACCCAGGGGCTCCAGGACTGTGAGTGCCGACAGCCCAGGCAGCCCCGGGCTCAGAAAACAGGGACTTGGGCCCTGGCGGGAGGGAAGGGTGCACGAGAGGGGAGGGTGGTCAGGACGCCAGCGTGGGCTCAGCCGGAGCTTCAGCCCCTGCGGGGCCGGCCGAGCATGGGAGGCACGGAGCGCAGCGGCAGGCACGGGACACGCACACGCGTGCACGCCTGGAAGCACCTGCCTGGCCTTGGTCCCTTCCTATGATCACTGCTTCCGCCGAGGCTCACCAGAAGTGGGGGACAGGGTCAGGGACGCAAAAGCCCTTGGAGAGGTGGCCTCTTCCGTCAGATACCTCCTAGGCCAGCCTCCCTGCTGCCTGGATGGGGACCATTATTGCTTTAGAGGAACAGGAGGGGGCGAGAGCTGCAGCCTGGGTCAGGGATCCCGGGAAGGAAGGGCGGCCCCTCTCCACTCTGCGGCGGCGGCTCTGGCGGGGGCCTGGGCCTCGGAAGCTGCCCTAAAGGTTTCACTCCTTTCTCCACGTGGGTGGGGGGTGAGAACCTCCCACCCCCCAGCTGGTCCTGGGCCCTACCTCAGGCAGCCAGGTGGCCGCAAGGTAGGGCGGGAAGCAGCGTCTGCCCCTCTTGCCTCCCAACTGGGGTCCGAACCCAGTCCCAAGATAAAAAAATACTTTGGTGAGTTAAAAAGTGCCCAAGGAGGGAATCGGCGTGAGGGGCGGGCAGCGGGCCCGTCAAAGGGCGCTCTGGTCTTTGATGAAGGCGGTCCTCTCGCCCCGGCCCTCGTCCTCGTCCGAGTCGGACGGGCACTCCTCCTGCCAGGCCTCGGGCGGCAGCCCCTTGTAGGAGATGAGGCCGCGGTCCATGGTGTACACCTTCACGCCCCGGAAGCTGAAGCCTGAGCGCAGCTGCAGGACCAGGAAGACAGTGACGAAGACCAGCACGATGAAGGCGCAGCCCAGGCCGGCCACCACCTCGGGCAGGTGCGAGGGCAGCTGCCCTGCCCGCAGCCGCGGCTCCGTCCCCACCTCCAGGGGTGGCCGGGGGGGCGGCTGCTGCTGTGGCGGGGACTCCCGGCTGCTCTGGCTTTGCCGGGAGCAGGTCTGCTCCACGGGGTCCAGGGAGGCGTGGCTGGGGCAGCTGAGGCAGTCCGTGGGGGCCGGCCCCTGGCAGGTGGCACACGAGGGGTGGCAGGGGGCACAGACGCTGGCCCGGATGGTCTCCACGTCGTTCTCGGTGCTGTAGTGCGTGTCGAGGACTTGGGGAGCGAAGCCCGGCGGGCAGTGCTGGACACAGCTCTTCTGGTGCAGGGAGAAGCCTTCCTCGCAGACTGCCGGCAAAGAGGGAAGTCAGCCGGGCAGACCACGGCCACCGGCCCACGTGAGCCCCCAGCCCCAGGACCGTGGCAGCCGCAAGCAGAGTCCCCAGTCCCTGGGAGCCCCTGCCCCAGAACTGTGGTCATCCCAAGGGCCCCCGAGTCCCTTGAGACCTCTGTTCCTCCTAGAGCTAGGCTGCAGGACACGCAGCCTCTGTCCCCCAGCCTCCGGGCCCCAGCCCGCAGCGCCCACTACTGACCCACGCAGGCCTGGCTGGACGTGAGAGTCTTGCAGCCGCTGCTCTCGGGCGGCGTCGGCAGCCCCTCGGGGGCCGTGCCGTACAGCACGAGGGTGAACTTGGTCAGCGTCCCTATTCCGGAGCAGGGGAGGAGGCGGGGGTGAGAGGGCGTGGCACCGTGCCCAGCATCCCGGACCCCGGCTCTCCTCCTCGTCCCCCGCTCACACCCTGCGCCCCCAGTACCATAGTTGTTGGCTTCGCTGGTGTTTTCGATCTCCAGGACCCACTCGCCAGAGGGATCCTCGTCCCAGGAATGGGTTGTCATGAAGGCCCAGTCATTAAACCCATCCGCGGAGTAGTCGTGTGGCCTGGGGAGGGGTTTGCACATGTAGCCACCTGAGGCCGTGGGGGGACCCCGGGCCGGGGCACGCTTCACCCGCAGCACACGGGCAAGCACCAGCCCACGGGGCTGGAAACGCCTGTGGGCCTGGCCGCTCCCCGGGGGCCAGATGTTCTCAACCAGGGCATTCCAGAAGGGTACGAGGGCGCTACGTGAGGGGACGCACACCACCGGCACCAGACAGGTAGAAGCCGGGGATTTCTACGCTATGCAACGGCCCCACGGGACAAAGCTGTCCCTCTCAGAACGCCAGTGGTGCCCCGTGCGGTAGTGCCGGACAGCCGCTGGGGTGTGGGCGGCTGAAGGCCTGCACCTGGGCCGCAGGGACAGGAGCTGGGCAGGGACAGGGCAAGCACCTGGCGGCCAGCAGCGTGGAACGGGTGCCCATGGGGCTGACCAGGTGGATGGCCAGGTCGCCACGGCGATTGTAGGACAGGGTGAGGCGCGCCTGAGCGTGCTCCAGCCGCGTGATGTGGTTGGGCCCGCCCAGGCACGCGGTCACCGTCTTCCGCACCTCCAGCCGTTTCCCGATGTCCCTGTGCAGAGCGCAGCGGGAGCGTCAGCCTGGCCCAGAGGGACCGGCAGGCACCCCTGCAACTCTCAGCCCCCGCCGGCCCCTCCCGGCCCGGGGCCAGCCCTCACTTCGGCTCAGAGAGGATGTCGATGATGCACTTCCGCTGGGGCGCCACCGTGGTCCAGTTCTGGGCCAGGGCCACCATGGCTCCTGCGTCCAGCAGCCCGTAGCCATACGAGTGACTCACTGTGGGGGCAGGGAGGTGGGGTCAGCCGGGAGGCACAGAGTGCCCCCACCTACCTCCAAGCTCGGCCCACAGGGCACCCTGCCCTCACCTTTCCGGCCCACGCCGTTGGTGGCCCAGTCGTTGGCATTAAGGTGGGCTGGCTTTGAGGTCTGTACCACCAGGTGCTGCATGTCCCGCCAGGTGAGGTTCTTACTGCAAAGGAGGAAGGGAGAAGCCAAGGCTCAGTCCTTTTGGGAGCAGCTGGAGACGAAGGGCTGTCCTGCAGACAGTGCCGGTAGGGCCGGGGCTGCCCCTTGGCCACCCCCCCCCCACTTACTTGGCCTCTAGAGTGAGAGCGATAATGCCAGCTGCCAAGGGGGCGGAGGCGGAGGTGCCTGTGTGAGACTCTGTGCACTTCTGCCGCAAGTCAGTGGTCACCTGCCGGGGGACAATGGTATTCGGGGCTGTGACGGCTGGAGGGGACTGGGGGGCCACCTGGCTGCCCCCCCAACCAGCCTACAGGCCCTGGGCACCACAGATGCCTCGGTCCCAGCAGCTGCCTTGCTAACCTGCTGCCGGTCGGCCAAGGCCTGGCCCCTTCTGGGCCTCGGTCCCCCAAGCAACAAGTGGGCTCGGCCAGAGGCTGGGGCCGTGGAGAGCAACACACGTTTTAGGGAGCGCCTGCACGCCTCGAGGGCTTTGCAGATGGGTCCACGGCCCCAACAGCCTTAGAGAGCCAAAGCTCACATCGCACGATGCCTGAGCCTCTACCGCCCAGCCACAGGGGGACGGGCGGGAGGCTGATGGGGTGCACAGGGGGGTCCTGGGCAGAGCCGGCAGGCAGCCCCTCTTCCCCAGCCCACACCCGGGCAGGACTCACGATCTGCTTCTCGTTCTGGTTGCCACTGCTGTAGGTCGTGGCCAGGGTGGACGAGCAGGCCTCGCTGTACCAGGGCACGTTGCCGAGCTGCGTGGCGCTGCTGATGGACAGCGTGTAGATGCTGTTGGTGTAGCCGTCGCAGTTGCAGCTGTCATGTTCCCGGCCCCCGTTCCCCGAGGCCCAGACAAAGATGGAGCCCAGCCCCCCTCGGCCCTGTGGACAGAGCGGGCTGGGGTCACTCGGGGTCGCACCTTGGGGAGGCCCAGCGGGAAGATGCGCCCGGAGACTGGGCAGCCTGGGCCTCATTCTCTGGGGACCTATTTCCCAGGTCCCCTGTGACATCCCCGGCGGATCGGGGATGTTTGCGAATATGTCTGTGCACAAAGAAGTAGACCGGGACCACCACCACGCTCAGAGCGGAGCTCTCCGGGGAGTGGGGCTAGGAGTGATTTGTATCGTCTTCACTCTTTTCCTGTCTGTTAATATTTTATTAAACATACTTCCTACAAAATTAAAGTTAAACACAGGAATGAAACAAAAGATTCGAGGGAGAGAGCCACAGAGAGGACGGCACCGGCCTGCCCCGGGGCCAGATCAGGCCCCGCCTCACCTGGCTCACGCCCCGGAAGAAGGCCTCCTCGGCCAGGCGCGCCGGCCCGTCCACCGTCTTGCCGTCGTCCTCGGGGCCCCAGCTGGCGCTGTAGATGTGGATGTGGTTGGGGTTCAGGCCCAGCGAGCGTGCCTCCACCGCGTCCGTGACCTCGCCGTCCAGCATGCGCACCCCTGGCCGCGAAGGATGCCGTGTGGGTGCGGCAGCCAGGCCCCTCCCCGAGCACCCCCGGCCCCGCACCCGGGGAGCTGGGGAGGCCTGAGCCCCCATCCAGCTGTCCGCACTGCCTCTCACAGGCAGACCCGAGAGGGGAGAGGGGAGAACGCCTCCTGCCCCCAACCACACGTCTGCTCTAGGGAGACACTCCGGTCCTCAAAGGAGCATGGTGGCCAGGGCCTGCCATGTGAGGACTGAGGACGGTTGTCAGGATGTGGGGAGACTCCTGCTGAGAAAGCACCCCCTCCACCCCACCGGGCAGCCGGCACGGGGGGGGGGGTCCAGCTATCTGAGTCACCGAGAGCCCTGTGTGGAATATCTGTGTGGTCAAAGGGTCCACGGCAGGAAAGTGGCAGGCACTGGCCAGCGGGCAGAGAAAAGTCCCACTGAAGGGCCCTCCCAAAGACAGAACGCCAAGGCCCACACCCACCTCCAATGCGGGCGTTGTAGGCCACCCCTACGCCGCAGACACCGTTGTTGGCCACTGCGGCCACTTCGCCTGCACACCGTGTGCCGTGCCTGCCGGGGCCAAGAGCATAGCATGAGTGGGGTGGACAGGGGGCAGCAGACGTGGCCCGAGGAGCAGGAAGGATCTGTGTGCCCCCCCAACAATGACCGTGCCCCCATGCACAGTCCCTCCCGCCCACTCCCCCCGGCCGGTGCCAGCTCCACTCCGACCACACCCTCCCTCGGAGCCCCAGGTGGACCAGGCCCAAGGAGGAAGCGTCAGCCCGCTGCTGAGCTCAGCCCGCCAGGCTCAGCCCTGTTTCCTTGGTGGCAGGGAGGAGGGAGGCAGAGGCCAGGGACCTGCCATTTCTTACCTGTTGTCATTCATCTGCGTGTACCGAGGCTGGGGGTCAGGGTCTTGGTCGTTGACATCGAAACTGGCCCCAGGGTCCTGGAAAGGACGTGGCCACCGTCAGGGGCAGCCAGACCTCACTATCAGAACAGGACAGCCCCTAGCGACCCCTCGCCAGGGACTGCTGCCGCCTCCCCCGCCTCCTCACATAATTGCCTGCCAAGTCCGGGTGGTTCTTCTCGATGCCATCGTCCAGGATGGAGACCACGATGCCGCGCCCCGTGTAGCCCTGGGCCCAGGCCTCCTTCACATTCAGGTCCCGCTGAGTGACGCCCGACTACGGAGACACCCGTCCGCATCACTCATGAGGCGCGGTGGTCGGGAGGTCAGGGGCGCCCTGACCCCTCACCACCCCCACACCGCCTTCTCCACCCTCCCTGAAGTGCCGTCTGGTTGTCTGCCTGCCTGGCAGTGTGAGGAGCTCGGGGACGGCCACCCCAGGCTTAGCAGGCTGGGCTGGGGACAGCGCCCAGCAGAAGGGCAGGAAGAGAATCAGAGGCCACTGAGGCAGCCTCGCCCACCCACGGGAGCCCCCAGGGGGTGGCGGGGAGGAGGCGCGTACCAGGTACCACTGCTGGGGAAACTTGGGGTCCGTGGGCTCCTGGTACACGTCCCGTTTGGTCCGCCGCTTTGCCACCTGCTGCTCCAGCCACTGTACCTGGGAGGGAGGGAGGGAAAGATGGCGTGTGGGCGCAAGAGGGGCTCCTGGGAGCAGAGGGGTGGGCGGCCGGCAGCAGGGGGCCAGGGCCACACTCACTTGAGGCTCCCTCTGCAGCCGGCTGTGCCGCGGGCGGTGAGGCGACAGGGACCGCTTTGTCACTGCTCGATGCCAGAAGTGGTAATAGTCGCCGAAGATCTGCAATAGAGCAGGACGACTGAGCTGGGCTTTCCATCTGTCAGTCCCCAGGGGGGCGGGGGACGGGGGCAGACAACGGCTGCAGGGGAGACTCACAATGGCAGGGACCGTGCCCTCCCTGCCCGGGACCCAGCAGGAATACACAGGGCACGGAGAGGGCCCACCATTACTGGGGCACGCTGGTTGTCTGAGTGACCTACCCTACAAGCCCAGGGACAGGACCAGCCACTGCCCCATTCCACCGGCCACTCAGAACATGCCTTCTACACAGAGGCCCCTGAGAAAACAAGCCCAACAGTTCTTGCTCCCCGGTGCCAGAGCCCCTGTCTTGTCTGGGCCCTACTTGCTGGCAAAGTCCTGTGTCTCGGCCGGCAGGCCAGGTAAGAACACGTACCTGGCCCAGGTTGAGGAACCCATGCTTCCGTGCCACGCCGTCAGCCACTGCCGGGCCTCCAGGGATGTGCACGGCCCACGTGTTGGTGAAGACCTTCTGGGCCCGGGCCTCGGCTGCCAGCAGGACCAAGGCTCCTGCTGCTGCTACCACCCATAGCAACCAGGGCCTCAGCTCCATGGGGGGGGCAGGTGGCCGGGACCCCGGAGCTCCCGTCTCCTTGGCCTGGTCACAAGGCCTCAGCTTCCACGTGCCTGCTCACTGCCCGTGGCCCGGGGTTAACTGGCGGGGGCATGGGGCCGAGACTGGCAGGGCTGGGGAGGGCGAGGGCTGGCGGCTGAGGGCAAGAAGACAGACGGGAAGAGAGTCAGCACCCCCCCGGCCATGCACTGGAGCTGCCCTCCCACCCCAGGGCTCATCGAGGCCTGAGAGGGACACTGGGAAAACAAGAAAGAAGAAACTCAGGCCCCCAGGGTCTACCAGATTAGAGGGGTCCCCCCAGACGCCCCAGGCCTTTCTCCACAGGAGAATACAAGTGTGACACAAGACGTCGGAGGAAGAGTGTTAAGGCTTAAACCACTCAAAAATCACAAAAAAACAAATGAATAAACATTCACCGTGATGAAAGTAGAAAGATACGCTATAAGGCAGTGTGTACACAGAATCCCATTTTTTGTTTTTTAAAAACTATTTATACATGTATATTTATACATAACTCAAAACAAAATCTGGAAGGACACGCGCTAAAATGTTAACAGTGGTTCTCTCAAGATGGTGAGAATTACGAGTCATTGTTATTTTCTTCTTTGTGTCATTGTATGTTCTCCAAATTACCTAGGTATACTTTACATAGGAATAAAGCGTTGGCTTTTCAAAGTTTTTCAAATGAATGGTGTCTACACGACTCCCTAGGGTTTCCTGGTTCAGCGAAGCAGATTCAGCCACAGGGAGCTGCTTGTGGCCCCACAGCCGCGGGAGGACGGGCAGTCCCCGGCGGCCAGGCTTTGCAGGCCATGCCCCAACGGGGAGCACGGGGAGCACACAGGCTTCACCCCTCCAGGGCCGAGACAGCGGCTATCAGTGAAGTCAGGGGCCCAGGCTCCTGTTTCCTGGGGAACGCTGGGGCTGGGCTGCCCCACCCTACCCGCCAGGCCTGGAGGCCCCCAACAGCCCCCTGGCTCACTCCACGCCCACCCTTGCGTAATCTGAGCCGGGCAGCCAGGGCAAACACTGGCTGCTGAGCCAGGAGCGCCAAGGTGAGGCTGAATCAATAGTCCGCGTGTTGTTTTTCCTCCTTCAGCAAACAGACTGCGGGACCTCTCTGCCCAGGGCCACATAACTGTCCCCACATAGGGCCCCTGACTAGCCAGAAGCCAAGCCCCTCGGCAGGGGGAAGCTGGGAGAGGTCCCAGCGGTGCCGCTGGGGGTGTCCTGTCTCAGTGCCAAGCTCCTTGAGCAGCGTCCCCAGGGCCCCAGATGCCCCCACCACTCCTGTGGCTGAGGCCACACTTTGCCGGATGGCAAGACGTAGGCAACCCGGCTCACGCAGACCCTGGGGAGCTGGACAGGCAGGCTCACCTCTCCGGGGGCGGCCCTCGGCCACGACTGGTGTCCCTGGCTGCCTGCAATCCCACCCTGCAGGCTGGGGGGACTCCACACACAATTCCTGGAGTATTTTCAGTTTAGACCAAAATAACCTGACAGCTGATGGCAGGAGACGTCCACCATGCAGCTCCTCCACAACCGAGGGGCAGATCCACAGGGCACCAGGGCAGGCCTGGGAGCCACCGTCCCGTGACACCCTGGTGGCTGGTTCCAGAAAGCTGGCTTGGGCAATGGCTGGACAGCCAGATGCCCCATCCCTAGGGGGGTGGAGAGATACCATACCCCTCACTAACGGAGGACGTGGGACCCAGGGGGCAAAGCCGTATAAGAGCAGGATTCTTGCCACCGCAACAGCTGCCTCTTGGGTCCAGATGTCGTGTAAAACCCCTGACTACAGTGCCATAAGCCTTGCTGGGGCCCCCAAGTCAAGGCTCGGTTCATCTGGGTCTAGCCCAGATTCCGGCACACCGTGGATGGAGCCTCAGCTGCTAGGCGTTAAACGTGATTAACCAACTATTTAATTACCTTGCAGCACCCAGAAAGCAAGCAGGCTTCAGGCACAACCCAACAGTCCCCCCAGAAACAGGGCCAGCCTCCCTCTGCCCAACGTCCCCAGCCACGGTGCAGGCTGGACATGGCTTTCAGGACCTTGAGAGCCCCTGACAGCTCTGTCTCAGCATCCGGGATGGAGGGAGGACCCCTCCCAAAAAAGTAAGCACTGAGAACAATGAATGAATGGGCTTCTTCCCACCCCCACTCCAGACTCTGACTCACCCTCGGAGCCCCAGTTTGTCTCAAACCCACAGGCTTGCTGTGCTGCTTGTGATCCTGTTTCTCACGGGACTCGGCTCCAGCCCTGGCCACAGAGAGCCGTGGGTGCTCCTCCTGGCCGTGCTCCTGGGCAAAGCCCCTCTCTCCAGCTCCGGAACCTCCTGACACAGCCACTGCGGGGCCCTGGACTGCACCTACCCCCGGGACCGACTGCTGTTTTCCAGGCGCTAGATGTCTGGCTGGGACACGGCCACCGAGCAAGCCTCCGGAGGGCTGCTCGGACACGGAAGGTCTCTCTCTACCAGACACCGAGCCGGGTCCTGTTACAGGCACCGGGAGGCTCAGAGAAACCAAGACTGCGCCCTGCTCATATACTGCTTGGTGCGGTGATCTTACGCAACTCACTTCCTCTCCCTGGGCCTCAGTTTCCTTCTTGGTAAAAACTGCTAGACCAGCGGTTTTCAAACTTTTTTTTTAAGCCACAGAATCCTTTTGTGAAAATCAAATATTGTGGTGGAAGCTCCATATAGGAAACACTAAAACTCGGGCTGTTCTTGGTGAGACCGGGCCAGGCTATTTCTTTTGCGGTGTCCACACCTGGCCAGCAGCTGCCCAGGGCTCAACTAGGCCGCATCGCCTGGGTCCCCCGCACTTCCCAAGTCAGAAAGAGAACCCCAACACTCTCCGGTAGATGGGGGCCTGCACCCCCAGGGGCAAGCAGGTAGGGGCTCATGGGAAAGCAGGTTCTGCCCAGACGAGCGAGCGAGCTAGCGACTGCCGTCAGACCTGTCTGGCAAGCAGGCCGCCCCTCGGTCCGGGCACCCCACGGGGGCCTCGGGGCCCTCGGCCAGGCCTCGGCAGAAGGCAGCCACGGAACCCACCTGGGCCGGCCTGCCCGAGCCCGCGGCCCCACCTGAGTCCTGTGCCGCACAGGTGTGCGGGCGGGGAGAGGCCCCGGCCAGGAATAACCCCACGACCCCCACAGCCGCTCCTCCCTCGCCCGCGGCGGAACGAGGCCTCCCGGCCGCGAAGTGGGCGAGCGCCCGCGCCCCGGGGACTGCGGGAGGCGGGAGCCCCCAGCGCCTCTGGAATTCTCGCCCACCCCGCCCCAGCAGGGCCCGCAGGCGCTTCCTGAGGTCAGAGGGCTCGCCCCGGCCCCGAGCGGAAAAGTACCGGCAGGGGCCGGGCCGGGGCCGGAGCGGCCCGGCGCGCTCAGGTGGGCTGCGGGCGCCCTTCCCGCGCCCGCGGCTCCACCTGCCGGCGGAGCCAGTCCCGACGCCGGGCGGCGGCCGGCCTCGACGCGGGTCGAGGGCTGTCCGGCGCAGCGCCCCGACTCTTCCGCGGGCCCGCCGCGGAGCGCTCCCGGCGGAGGCCCGGCGGTGCCCTCGGCCCGGCCGGCGCGCCGCCGCCCAGGCCGCGCCCTGGCCGCTTACCCTGGGGAGCCCGGGCGGCGAAACTTTTCCGGGCGAGCGCCGCGGCGGCTCAGCGCCCTCGGCCGAGCGGAGACCGGCGGCGGGGCCTGGGCTCGCGGTCCCGCGCCCGGCACCGGCGTCACGGCGCGGAGGCGGGGGCGGCGGCGCGCGCTCGCGGCGCGACCAGGCAGGCTCGGCTCCGGTCCGGCTCCGGCAGGCGGGGCAGCGGCCGGGCCGCGGCGCGGCTTGTTTACTCGGCGCTGTCAGCGGCGGCGGCAAGCCGGGCTCCTCCTCCTCCGCCGGCCGCCGCGCCCCTCCGCGCGCGGCGCTCTCCGCGCTCCCGACCGCCGCGCCCGACGCGGCCGGCGCGCGCCACCGCCATGGCCGCCGCCGCCGCCATGCCGGCCGCCCCCGGCCGCGCTCGGACCGCGAGCGCCGCGCGCCCCGCCCGCCCGGCCCGGGCGGCTCCGCCTTGGGGCGCCCGCTGCCTCCGGCTCCTGCTTGGGGCAGGTAGGAAGTGGGGCCGGCGACCCCTCCGGCCGCCCGCGCGCCCGCCCCGGGTCGGCTCCGCGCGCCCGCCGCGAGCTCCCGGGGCAGGCGGCCGGGAGACCCACGCGGGGCCGGTGGGACGGAAGGGCTGGGGGAGTCGGCCGGAGCGCAGCCTCGGCCAGGGCCTGCGGGACGGGCCCTCTCCTCCCCGCGTCCCCACGCCGGGCCATGAGTGTGAGCGTGACCCGGTTAAGCGCCGGGGACGGCGGGCCTGGGGTGCCCCGCTCCTGGGTGGAGGAAGGACTTCAGGGCGCAGGGCAAGCCTCCTCGTGGCCTACTGTTAAGAGCAGTCACGACCGAATTTGCATCTGTACGGATGGATATAGAAGCAGCAGCAGCCTGCCTCCTTGTAATTTTTTTAGCTTTCTTACACCAGCCTCGTGCCAGGCACCTGGCCAGTCAGTTTACATTATCTCCTCCTATGTACATTATTTAATCCACATAATCCCTTCGGGCTGACAGTATTAATCCCATTTTACAGATAAGGAAACTGAGGCACCCAAAGTTTAAATAATTCGCCCGAAGTCCCACAGCTAGCAGGCCTCAGAGGCTGGGTTTTGGCAGAGCCTGAATCCAAGCTCCTTGCAGTATATCCGCGGGAGCCGCCCTCCAGGGGCCCTAGGGAACCCCTGCGCGCCTCGGCTTAGGCAGACCCTGCTTTGGCTGAGAAAGAGAAGAGGGGAAATGTGGCCAAGAGCTTCCCAGGCTGGGTTGTTCCAAGGTCGCAGAGCCACCTCTGCCCAGCGCTCACCGCTCCTGGAGAGAGGACCCGGCAGCACGGGGTTATCTTGCGGCTAAGTCTGCGGGCTCCGTCACACCCAGGTTCCCGGGTAGCGAAAACAGAAACGCCACTGAAGGCTTCTTATAAGCCAGGCACCGCTCTAAACTCTTTCCATGCTCTTTCCATGCGCTAGCTCATTTCGTCCTCACCACAAGCCCCAGGGGGGGGTTCTGTACATTTTCCTTCGGGTGCTTTTTCTGCACTACTCTGCAACTTACAGAGGAGGAAACTGAGGTCCAGGGAAGTTAAATAATATATATATATATATATATTTGACACAGAGTCTCACTTTGTTGCCCAGGCTAGAGTGTGTGCCATGGCGTCAGCCTCACTCACAGCAACCTCAAATTCCTGGGCTCAAGCCATCCTCCTGCCTCAGACTCCCGGGTAGCTGGGACTACAGGCATGCACCACCATGCCCGGCTAATTTTTTCTATATATATTAGTTGGCCAATTAATTTCTTTCTATTTATAGTAGAGACGGGGGTCTCGCTCTTGCTCAGGCTGGTTTCGAACTCCTAACCTGGAGCAATCCACCCGCCTCGGCCTCCCAGAGTGCTAGGATTACAGGCGTGAGCCACCGCCCCCGGCCATAAATAATATTTCTGAGGTAACTCATGTGAAAAGTCAGTCAGCAAACAGGCTCAAATCCCTGTGGCCATATTTTGAACTGTGCCACCTTAAACAAGTCCCTTAATTTCTCAGAGCCTCAATGAGCCCCTCTGTGAAATGGAGACAGTCTTCAGCAGATGGGATCGGGGACTGTTGGGCACCCTTGCAAACACTGCGAAACTGGAAACTGGAGGAACAATGTGGGGTCCTCAAAGTTGAACTGGGAGATAAGTCTGGTGGGCCCCTCCTTGAGAGGGGACTTGCCCCCACGGGGAGCTAAGGTTGCAGGGGCCACTCTGGGGCAGCCCCCACCGGTGCCAGCCACGTTGGGAAATGACACTCCTGTAAGTCAGACTGAGGCAGGAAGTGAGTCACAGCTCTTCCTCAGGCTGTGAGCAAGAGAACCCCATTGAGGGGAAACAGGGACAGGGCTGGCCCCAGTGCCATTCCCACATGTCCTCTGTCCTAGAAGAAAGGTCAGCCCAGACAAAAAGCAATAGAGCTGCCTGGGGGGCCCCCCGCCCATCCTGGAGGCTGGCCCCAAGGGGGGCCTCAGCGGGCCTCGGCGGGGGAGGGGCAAGCCCTCCCAGACAGCTGTCACCCAGCGAGACCCAGAGGAACTTTCCGGTTTCTTCCTTTGGAGCAGCTTTGCCCCTCCAGCCCAGTGTGCTCAGAGGCGCCTCACTGACAGGGAGGAACGGGGGGATTGGGCAGGTGAGCTCCTGTCCTTGCTTCACCCAGCGCCTCTCAACTTTCGTCCCTCTCCTATGTGGGGTTTCATATAAGATTGTATTTTAAATAAAGATTCTGCTAAAAAGAACTTGGAAGCCACCCTCCACGAGAGCCCCGTGGAGAGAAGCCCATTTTGCCACAGCCGCTGACTCTGCCTTCATCTCGTGCAGCGAGGCCTGTGGCAGGTCCCCTCTTTGTGCTCCAACCGCCAGGCTGTCCCCGGAGCCCGGGCCTCAGGACTTGGGGCCCTTGGAGCCCCCAAGGTCCTCTGCAGTCCCACTTTATCACCTTGCTGCAGTAGTTGGTAGGACGTGGGCATGTCACAGGAGGCTGGCAGTGGATGGGAGCGGAGGGCCTGGGACGGGGGTCCCACCCACCCAGCGGGGCTCCGGGAGGAGGGTCCGGCCCTCCAGGCCTCTCTTTGCCCTTGGATTGGAGGCTAATCCAGAAGGCTCCTGCAAATAGCCACGGTCCTTGGGGTCACCCCCCCCAGGCGCTTGTACCGTCCCCTGGGGTGCTCCGACGTCTCAGAGCTCCATGCCACCTCAGGCATCTCAAAGCCTGCAGCAGCAGCACCACACCTGGTTTTACTCAGTGTCTACACAACATGCATACTTGCATAGAAGGGTGCACAACAGAATTTACTTGGTGTTTTCTGTGAAAGGGTCAGATTTGAAAGCCATTTGTTTCCATTTTTTTTTTTTTTTTTTTGCTTACCTCCATTTTCCAGGAATGTCTACAATAACTCTTGTAATAAAATAATTCAACCTGTAAGTCAAGCAGAATCAAATAAGGCACACCTGTACTTCACCGTCCAGCTCCAGAGCACCTGGGGTCCATCCTGACCGCTGCTTCGTCCCTGCCGGCTGCCGGCGCGACAGCCGGGCTCCTATCCCATCACAGGGCAGGGCCCTTCCAGTTCTGGCTAAGCCACTTTGGAAAAACCTTCTTTATATGATGGGCAAACAGGGTGTCTGTGGGTGGGGGGAGGAGCTAGAAGTGATTTGGTGGTGACATATCTGGTCACGCTGGGACTAGCTCCCAGCATGGCCAGCCTTTCCCATCTTCCCCATTTATTGGGGTGGGTCTGCATTTACCTTTTACCACCTGGCTTTGCCACTTCGCAGTCACTTGTTGGCTTAATGGCCTCCTTCTGCAAGCTCCAGCTCTGTGTCTTCTGCCTTGCCTTCCATGCCCAGCCGGTGCCACCCACAATTAGGCACCTAATAAATGCTCTGGGTGCAGTCTAGGCTGGCAGACGGTCACTGAGCAGCTCCTGGACGCTGCGCCCCTTAGAGCTCGTCTGCAGGAAGCCAGAGACACCCCTGGTAGCGCTACAAGGAGGTATTCATACTTGAGGCCCACCAGCATCTCCCCAAGTTAGTGACCTCCGTGGCCTTGCAGCTCCAATACGCTGCTGCCCTTCCTTCTCCTCTTGATCCAGAAAAGTAAAAACAGCCAATCATCCTAACTTCTGGAGTTTTTCAAACGGTTTGTCATCCGGAACAGGGTTTCTCAACCTAAGCGCTATTGACAGCTTGGGACAGATACTTCTGTGTTGTGGGGACCGCCCTGAGTATTGTGGGATGTTCGGCCACGTCCCTAGGCTCTGAACACTAGATGCCAGTAGCACCCTCACTCCCACGATGACAACCAGAAAGATCTCCGGACACTGCCAAATGTCCCTTGGGGGACAGCAGCACTCCTAATTGAGAACTGCTGATGCAGGGTGAGCGGTGTCACGGAGCGGTGGCTGCTGTGTGAGGTGGCTGGCGGAGTTGTCCCCCGGGAACTCTGCGCTGAGACAGCTGGCAGGGAGGGAGACGACTCCTGAACCTGAAACGCCCAG